TCAGAACAATAATTTCTTTAACAAGTGTTAATTGAAAATCTGCAAGTAGAATATTTTTTCCACTGGTAATATTATATAATATATGAGCATTTAACAAACTTAAGTGAACAAACAAATGAAAAAATAACTTTATACCAGTTTATTGACTTTCTGACAGATTCAGTGCTACTGAGAAGCAAGTCTGTTTTATCTATAGTCCCCATATTACAATTACAATCCAGTACACATTCTAGTTTCTGTATAGAAACATTGTCCTTAGTTTTTATACCACTATCTTTCATGTTGCTGGAGTGAAGTGTCATAAGCATTGTAACTGGACGTCTATCTAACCACTTCAGCCCCTGCATATTTGTAATCTTGTAGCCAAGTACTTGACCTTTATGTAGGTTTTTTCGTCATGGGTGGCATATGTTGTCTATTTGATTTTACCTTTCCACACGCATTTGTTTTATCTTTACATATCTTATCAAATAAAAGCGGACTGCTGTACCAGTTGTCCACATACAACATATGTCCTTTATTTAAGTAAGGGTCTATCATTTTCAATAGTTTTCGGAATTATACAAGGTTGCCCCCTCTAAAGTTTTGGCTTAATATAATTTCTTTTTGTTTTGTTTTTTGTTTGTTAGGTTATACACCAGTCATAATTTGGATTAATGAAATTTTGAATTCAAATGATATTTGAATTTGAAGTAGGGATGGCGGTTTTTGACAAAACACCGGTTTTCGGTTAAACCGGTTTTTTTTTTGCTTACGGTTTAACCTGGCAGTTATAACCGGCGAAAAAACCGGTTTTCCCAAAAACCGGTTTTCGGTTTTTTTAATCAAATAGATTAAAAAGTTACATTTACAATGCAATTTAGTTTGCGATACTACATTCGCAACACAATTTTTTGTGTTTTGTGAGAAAAAAATTCCCCAGACTCCTTCAAATGGGATTTAAAGAAAATAATATCAACATAAATATTTTACTTAAAAGTAAATTGGATAATGTAATTCATCTTTTATTTTTACTACCATCAAAAAAAAAATTATTATTTATTACTTTTAACTCATTTACGACTTCCGGTATGGGTATAAATCGTTTTGAAAACGTAGGGAAATCCTTGTATAGGCTATTCCACGAATATACGACTGTTTTGGTTTACTGCTACAACGAATATTTTACTGTGCAAGTAGAAGTATGAAGGTCAATTGGTCTAATCATTATTCCAATAAAAAGGGTCTACTAGTATGACATCTAAACTAAAATTATTTCAGTTAAAATCTACAAATAAATACAATGACGTCTATGAAGCCAAATGTGTTCATCAGACATTTGGGTAAGCTTTCCGTGAAATGTAAACAACAAGAGTCGTGCCGGGTTTCTTTGATATAACACATTTTATTACTTTATTAGGTATTTACAACTGTAATAAAAAGAAATATACTATTTTTAATATAAATGAAAAGAAATTGGCAGAACGATGGTTCACAAACCAGAAAAAGGATCTAATATTTCACTTTGTTAGTTTTAAATATTTGTTTGCTTTGAGTTTATGTACTCTTAAAAGTTCCGAAAATAATGGGTATAACATACCGGCTATTGATAGTTAAAGTACCGAGTCGTTACAGATATTAAAAAGTAACGAAAATTTATATACAGTTTCATATATCGCCGACTGATTATGGCTGTGAATCTGATCGTTGATGATAGTTTTAGAAGATTAAGAGAATAAGTGAATAAGTAAGTTTTTTTGTTTTTTTTAATATTAATTGAATATTCGACTAAAAAATTTACACTATTTGATCACTTAAGTATTGTTACATTTCGTTTAAATCACATAATTCAAAAACCAACTTGTTTACAATGAAATAATTGAAATGAAAAAATAAACTCAATGATAGTAATTATATATTTCAAAATCTGAATTACAACTGTTTTATAAACTATTAACTTTATATTTATATCATGACTTCATATTTAAATCTGAGATTTATATCCGTCGTAACAGTATTTTAAAAATGGGGAGAATTTACTATTGTACAATTCAGTACATTGGACCATTTAAATCGACACCTTAAAGCGAATTTAAAACAGTCGTATATTCGTGGAATGGAGTATAGATTCGTATTCGTAATCGGTAATTCGATATTCATAGTCATTATTTTTGGTAATCAGAAAAAGCCATTCACCCACTTTCAATGTCAAGAGTCAAATAACCATAATAAATACCAGATCACTTCTTATTTAAAAATATTATGATTACAAATACTTTTTCAACGAAATACTATAATAAAATTTAATTGTTTCTGGCTAATGTGAGCTTTTGCTTCTGTATTAAATAAAATAAAAATTGAATTTTAGTTTTGTTTGGAATAATTACTTGAGAATAATAATTATGATTGGGTGGGATCCAAAATAATACCTAACCTAATCCTACTCACTTCTTCTTCTTCTTCTACGGCACTACAGCCCAAAATGAGCCTTGGCCTCCTTTATTTTTTGCCTCCACCCTTGTCTGTCTGTGGCTGCTCTTCTCCATACACGGACTCCTAAAAGTGCTTGTGCGTCGCTGCTTACTGTGTCTTCCCAGCGCTTTCTTGGCTTTCCAACTGGTCTCTTTCCCTGTATTCTGGCGTTCAGTGCTCGTTTTGGTAGAATCCTACTCACGGTAAAAACCTAATAACCGGTTTTTACTTTAAAAATAAAAAACCGGTTATAACCGGGACAAAAAAACAACCGATAAAACCGGTTATTTCGAAGTAAAAAAACCGGTTTTCGGTTAAAACCGGTAGGTTTTTCCCATCCCTAATTTGAAGAAACCTTTGAAGAAATTCCTGTGGAATAGTTGGTGAGTTATCAAATTGGTTTTACCTGATATAAACATGAGTATAAATACTGAATTTCTGCTAAATACTGGGGTAGTATCAATATTATATACATGTACAAATCTCTTTTTTAGTTTAATGAGGTGAAGAAATGAAGCAGTAAAATGCCCAAAACCTACCAAATTTTTGTAGTTACATGGATATCAATGAAACTTGTTGTATTCGATTCGTAAGAGTGTCAGAAAGTTTTGTGAACAAAAATGATGAATGTCGAAATGAAAATTGCATTATTCAACAAAGAAAATCCATTTTCCACATTGTGTAATTGAAAGAAATGAGTTACTACTCAGGAGTTTTTGGAGTCACGTTTGTTTGGAACAAACAAACGTGACTCCAAACGTTTGAAAAAAACATTTGGAACGTGGTGTAGGGGAAGGCTAAGGCAGATGACTGGGATAAGCAGGATAGTGGTAGTTTTTGAAGAACACTCTCTCACTTCATAGTTTTTGAAATTTTGAGTACTCTCCCGTAATTATTCTAATCAGAGGTGTAAGTTTCCCGGTTTTTTTTATGTAATTCTTTTTAGTGTCTGGTTTATTCCGTTATTTTTAGGGTGTTCTTTTATATGTGTATCTTCAATATTCAACTATATGAATGATATGAAGCAGGCGCAAGTTGATGTGTGATTTATTTGATGTATGATTTTGGTTAGAATAAATTAGTTTATTTGTATTCTTTGACCACTTTTGATTGGGCTAATGATTTCAGCTGTGATTATGAGCTTTTTAATCCACGCATTCGTCACTCCTTTAAGAGTCATTAAAATTCTAAAATGTATCAAAAATTCTTCATAAAAGGAGTCTTAAAAATCTGTAAATAAATCAATATTCTATTTATCCTGTAATATTATTTAAAATATGCTATAGTTGTTGATTTACTCTAACTCTATTTTTTTTTTCAGGATAGAGCAGAAGCCGTGCTTAGATCACAGTGTCTGGATGCATATAAATTAATCTTTGGTTATTAAGGAGTGTAGGCATCATGAAATTTGGTTAGCTGCTTAGCACAAAAAATGCTTTACTGAAGATAAAATTTTAAGTTTGGTGTTTTTTTATGGATCCGTAGAAATAATACGCTGAAGTATCAGACCGATATTGAATTGGCTGTAGAATATAGACAGGATAGCAGGATTAGAACAGAAATAGCCACTTGAGTTTAGAAAAATGATACAGCCACATATAACACTCAAAATTTTGATCTATTGTATAAATGTAATAATGTGCTGTCTAAAATATTGTTAATATTAAATGTTGTTATTGTGTTTTTTTTTAGCCAGTTCCAGGTTTATCAAGTTTTTAAACAGTAAAGTAGTGGATATGTTACAAGTTTATTTACGTTAGCGTCGACTTTCAATTTAAAAAATCGATTTGTACAATACAATAAGGAAATAAGTAGAGCAATAAGTGAAATTCAAACGCCGCCAGTACTAACGAAAATAGTGAATTTCTATGACGTAAAAAATGGTAGGTCAACATCAAGGATTTTTAACACCAAGGACGTTCCTCTACGTATATATTTATTTATAATAATCATTAGGTTAGCATTGACTTCAAATTTGAAAAGTCGATTTATGATTATTATAAAACAAGAAATTGTAAATATATCAATATTCTTCAAGGAAATCTAAATCATATCTACATCAGAGATGAAAAGGATGAAAGTTATTTCATATGTCCAGCAATATCATAGATTGGTTATAATTGGACAGAAAAGTTTCTGTTTTGAAAATAGTTTGTGGCTTAAATTAAGGTTACAAACGTGATCAAAATAGGAAAAGATTTTCAATTAATTTTTTTTTAATATATTTTAGTTAAATACATAACACTCGCGAATGGGTATATAGTGCAAAACTTTACAGTATTCGGTCATTTTTATGAATTAATGCTGCAGATTGGATCCAATGTATGCCATAAAAATGTTTAAAAAATTCCAAGCTTGATCAGAAAAAATCTGAGGGGGGGGTCACTAGAATAACCACCAAACGTTTTGTGCAATAGCAATACCAGCATGGTTGGCGATCAACAGAATAACCACTTTTAATGAACTTTATAATGTATTTCAAAACATGAAACACACAGTGCTCACATTCTTTACAAATAAGTGTTGGTCTGACAACTTTCTTTTTTGTACTACAGTACCACACCGTCATGTTTCCCTTCATGGATAAATGTTTTTCTATGCCCGATTTTCGTACAGTATCTGTCGTGTTTACAGATCTTCCATTTTGTTTTGGAAACAATCACTTTTGGACCTGGTGTTTTTCTGGTGCAATTATCTTGTGTTAGCTCATCAGCTAAATTACTACGAAACATCAAAGCAGACATTGGTTTTGTATTCCTCTTGATACAATTCATTTTATAACTTATGTCGGCGTTGACAATTGAGGTGCTAATTAGATAATAGTACAGTTTCATCCACCATCTCCTGTATTTCCATGAAATATACGTCGACATGTACTGGTCAAAATGATCCACTCCTCCCATATTTTTATTATAATCGTATATGGGCATTGGACATGAAATACATTCCTTTCCGCCTTTTTATTCGTTCGTGATACAGTTGTGAGGCATGATGGATCATGGAAAGAACTTAAAATAACAACAGATTTCTTTCCTCTATCCTTCCACTTGCAAACAGAGAGTTCATTGCTTGTGGCATAATCGAACTCCCCCATTTTCAAGGCCTTGTCATTTTTAAGATGTTTCGGATAAACTTTTTATTGGTCCTAAATGTTCCACAGTTGAAAGTAGCGTTTGCCAGTAAGGCGGATGACAAGTTAAACGATGAAAAATAGTTATCAAAAAATATACATTACCCTTTATTGAAATGATTTTGAAAGATGCAGTACTGTTCTTTCGCCTAATGCACACCTTCTTCTTCTCCGTAGCTACGTCCTTAATAAATATTGAATTCTAACGTATATCCAGAGGCAGAACATGCTATTATTCACACCTTGAAGCCTTTTTTGGTGGGCTTTATTGGCATATATTGCTTCAAACTTGACCTATCTTTGAAGCGTACCATAGTTTCGTCTATTGCCAAATTGCGAGACGGTGACAACGATTTTAAAAATTTATTAGAAAGATGAGAAAGTAATGGCCGTAATTTGTATAGTTTATCATACCCGGATGTTCCTTTTCTAGACATTTCTTGATTATCATTCAAGTGTAAAAAGCCAAGAATTTTTAGAAATCCTTTGAGTCATTACGTTTGCTATTTTGCTTACTCAGAAATTTTCATTCACAGACCAGTAAAGTCTGATGCTAGGAAGTGGATGAATCACCATTATAATTAGTATACCTATGAAAGCTTTGAGCTTAGTTACGTTTAAATTTATTTCTGTACGCTTCTCATGAGCATACTTATTCGATTCCTCGACAATTTTGCCCAATATAACATCGTTTAAAAATACATTCAATAATTGGGAAGGTTTATCTAGATCCCAAATTGTTGAACCAAACGGTCGAGAGAAATTAGGGTAAATGTAATGTAGGGTAAGAGTACGCACTTAATATTAAAAGTGCGACATTTTTTTATTTTTACGAAAATGGACTATTTATCATTCCTCACATTGTTAACCAACCATTTCAAAATGTTTTAAACCATAACTTGTTAAACTGTTTTTTCGGGCTGTTAGGCCGTTGTCTTCTGAGATTAGTTCTCGACGTTTCGCCAACACTAGGGGTTGGCATCTTCTGGAGATGTTAATGCTTCGCTTGTAAGCATAAACTGACGCTGTGCACACACACACACACACACACACACACACACACACACACACACACACACACACACACACACACACACACCACACACACACACACACACACACACACACACACACACACACACACACACACACACACACACCACACACACACACACACACACCACACACACACACACACACACACACACACACACACACACACACACACACAACACACACACACACACACACACACACACACACACACACACACACACACACAACACACACACACACACACCACACACACACACACACACACACACACACACACACACACACCACACACACACACACACACACACACACACACACACACACACACACACACACACACACACACACGAGGTGATCAACCCTATCCCCAGGAACATGTGTATACCACCATATGAGTGAGATCCACATGTTCGAAGATCAAACCGGTCTCATGCATGTCTCATGTATTGGGGTGTGCATTCCCGGGTGTATAGAGCCTGCACACACCCCGGTGTATATGTGCTTATAACTAGTTATTTTTGGTGCTCACTGTCTAGTGTTTTGACTACTCTGTGTCTATCTCGTTTCTTCATATTTATTTTTACCTATACCCAATGAGTTGATGTTTTGGTCGTTTATGTGCCATTCTGTAGTTTATATCGTAGTTAGTCAACTGTCTTAGTTTTCTGCTTAGATGAGTATTAATTTGGTTGAATATGCTATGCGCTCTTTCATCCATTATTCGCAGTATTCGCTTTTGCCAGAGTCCCTAGATAGGTATGTAGAGGAAGGAGGGGAGCTTTCGACTACAAAATGGATTTTTGTATATAAAAATTTGTTAAATCCATATTTTTAAAATAAAAGAGCATTAATAGGTAGATCAAAGTTTTGTTCAAATAATTAACCTGAAATTAAAGAATAAAACCATTTAACAGCAAAAAAAATTTTTTTTTAAACTTTACAAATGGTTGAATGCTCCCTACCCAGGTGGAGGGGAGCATTCGACTATGTTAAAAATTATATTGAAAAGAATAAAAAAAGAAAAAGTTTTGAAAAAGTACTTTATTTTAGAAAAAATATCAAAAGTAAAACACAATGTAGTGAAAAAATAACATTAATGACCCACCTAAACAAAATCAGTTAACATTTAAGGTGCTAAAATTGTAACTAAACTTAAAATATGAAGCTGTTCTCGTTGTTCCAGTTTTTGTTAGTGTTTTCAATTTGCTGATAATGTCTCCATTGTCCACTTCGCTTATGTCTTCAATTTGTGGGAAATAAAAAGTAGTTGAGTTACCCTTCCTTCTCAAAAATTTAATTTTTGTTGCCTCTTCTGAAATTTCCAAAATTTGCCCCAAAAAATGAATCAGTTTGGATTTAGTCATATCTTACTAAAACAAAATCTTCTTTTTTAAGATCTTGTTGATCAACTCCCTCAATTTCATCAAATTCGTCACTCAAATCTTCACCTGAATCGTCATGAAGAGATAACGCGTCATTTTCGGTTGATGATGAATCAGAAACGTTTTCCATCTTTACTTTCTTTTTGGGGAGTTTGTTTTCTTTTGCCTGCATGTTATTCTTAAACACATTTCTCTTAACACCTCTTTTTTTACTTTCCTTTTCTTGTGCAATATTTTCCAATCTTTCTTTTTCAGGAGTGTCAGCATAAATTCTTGAAATTCCTGGCATTCGCTTACTTTTATTTTCTTTTCTTATGGCTTTTGGAAATGGTCTAATTGACTCTGGTGTGATTTTGACTTGATTCTTATGCTTACTGCAGGATGGTGTTGGTATAGTTCTTATATCATGTGTAATATTAATGGTATTCTTTACTTTTTTTGATTCAGTTGCAAGATCTTTGTGATCTTCTTCTATTTTGTCATTTTCGATCTTATCTCTTTCAACACGATCTTCTGTTTCTCTATGAATGACTTCATGTTCTATTTCATTATATTCGAGATTCACCTCACCTTCCACCATATTGGTTTGATTGTGTGGATTTACTGCGGGATGGAAAGGTTTGTCTGTTACATAACTAGGGGCAAAATCGTCATCGCTAAAAGCTAGTCTGTTAAATGGCCAAATCCCAGGCTTTTTAAAACTACTCACAATATTTTCATTTGTAAAAGCTCTTGCATATGCACGGTGTGTCAATTCTGGTATATTTTTTATTGTTATGGTTTTTCCTGGATTTGATACCATCCAATCATTGAAAGCGATGCTACAAAAATTTTTAAAAGGCCCATAGACCCCAATATCTAGGGCTTGCATTCTGTGAGTCGTATGGGGTGCAAAAGTTAATAGAACAATCCCACTCTCCTTGCAAAATTTTACGCTTTGAAGACTGACATGGGACTCGTGATTATCAACCAGCAATAATATGGGATCCTCAAGGGAGCAGCGAGTATGCTTTACTATATGTTGTAATACCGAGTGTAATAATTCTGCAGTCATCCAACCAGATTTGTTTCCCAATGCCAAACTTGACACTGGCGCGTTAACTATAAGGTCTTCCACATTTCTAATCCTTGGGAATACATAAACGGGAGGCAGGCTTTGTCCAGAAGCACTTACAATTCCCACAAATGTCACCAATTCACCCCTTTCAGCTGAAGCAGCTTGCGAGACTTGTTTTTTGCCTTTGAGGGAGACAATTTTCACTTGCTTCATGACAGTGGTAACTCCGGTCTCATCAAGATTATAAATTCTTTCTGGAGGAAATTTGTAGCGTTCCAACACTTTTTGAAGATTTGCAAAAAATTGGTCAACCTTATGTTTATTAAAAGCGATACTTCTGCTTAGACTGGTGCTTTCTGGTTTCCTTAAGGAAAGCGTTGGGTTGCGTTTCATAAATCCTCGTCGCCATCCATATTTTGCCTTTTTTTCCTGGTGCCACTCTTGCGGAATTTTGCAACTAGGCAATTCGGAGGCGTAATCATAAGCTAATTTTTGGATATGAGTATAAGTTAGTCCGTAGTTAAGGTCAGAGCATCTCTTGATATATGCTTCCAATTCAGCTTCGTGCTCTACCGTAAATACCTGCCTATTTGTATATTTGCTTGAATATTCGGGTGAATTTCTGTCAGCGTCACTTTCATTCCCAGAGTCATCCGGATTTTGCATATTCTGCCGCAAATACTCTTCTCTAGTTTTCTTCCGTAATATCTTTTTCACCCTACTTTTAAGTGTTGACCTTTTTATTCCATGAATTCAGGCAGCCTCCCTTTCTGAAGAAGTTCCGGTAAAACAGTCTATAATTGCTTGCTTAATGGCATTTTCGTCTATTTGGTGTCTGTTGGTTTTTAGTACTCGTTTTCGAGGCATATCTAAAAAAAATACAGCAAGTAAAATATGGAAATTTTTTAAAAATTTATTACACAATAAACAGTGATTTATTAAAAAGACCATATTTTGAATAAACTTTCAAAAAAATTCGTTTTATTAGCTAATTTAGTTCTCGAGTTAAAGTTTAATTATTGTTTGCCCAAATGTATTAATCATTGTCTCACTACCCTTCAGTCTTTGTTTACCTTCCACATAAAAAAAAATAATACCAAAGAAAATAATATTTTAAATATTTAAAATAACGGCTGGGGAGCATTCGACCAGTGGTCGAATGATCCCCAGTTTTTGGTGGTGGAATGCTACCCAGGGTACAGAAACAGATTAACACATTCACGACGGGTGTTATTTCCACTGAAAGTATTACAATACGATTCGGGCCCCGGGCGTCCTGTATCAAGATTGTATTCATATACGATT